GTTGCCTGACTTTATCAAGACAATCGACGAAAAGTTTGAGAATCATGACTTGGAAGGTACGAAATCATGACACATGATTGCATCGAGCGTTCCAGAATGTTAACCGAGATGGTCCAGCCGCATGGCCGTCGACGATTGACGATTTTGTAGATTGGGCAAAGGAGAAGATACAGGCAGGGCAGGCGTAAGGATATGGATGTATGCTAACAGACAGGTTAGCGCTGCAAATACGATTTAACCGTATTATACGGAGGATTAATACCCATAAACTAATCATCGGCGTTTTGTGCGAGGATTAGACTTTACTGAGCATCGAAATGCGCCGGTCTGACAAAATCGCCGATGCACACAGACCATAACTTTCATGGTAACCTAGGCTTCTCCGAGAATCACCCGATAGGGTCGAGTAGTTTCTTGACCAGGTCCCGTGTTGATGGATGGCACAATCAGCCGACGACTAGGACGGCAAGAACGCATATATAAAATGCTCCGGCTTCGTAGCTCCGCTCTAACCCCACCTCCATCCTCACCGCTGACCTCTTACCCCAGCTGAAATGGCGCCACGTCCGTTCAAGCCTCTCGACATCGAGGAGATTATATCTAAGCTCACTTTGAACGAGAAGTCTAGGTTGTTGGCTGGTATCGATAACGTACGTGGCAGTATGCTCGGGTAGAATGCAGGTCTCACAGCTGGCTCCTTATAGTGGCATACGTATCCGGTTCCTCGCCTTGGTGTACCATCTCTACGAGTGAGTGTATACAGTCATCTTTCAAGATATTTATATTAAAACAGCAATATTCTTAGTTCACTGATGGCCCTAATGGAGCTCGTGGCACCATGTGTAAGTTAACACCCAGCTACAAACGATTCATTTGGCTGAAGGCAATTTGTTCGTAGTCTTCGAAGGTGTCCCAGCTGCCTGCTTCCCAGCCGCAACTGGCCTCGCATCAGCTTGGGACCCTGAGTTCGCTCAAAAAGTAGGCAAAGCTATCGCTCTTGACTGCAAGGACAAGGGTTCGTTCTCTTACATATGCCTCCTTGATTCTCCGTATAATCATCTCCTGCTTTATTCCTTCAGGTTCCCACGTTCTTCTTGGTCCCACAGTCAACATCCAGCGCTCTCCCCTAGGCGGCCGCGGCTTCGAATCGTACTCAGAAGACCCTCTCTTGTCGGGCACACTCGCCCGTGCATTCATTAAGGGTGTTCAATCCGAGAACGTTGCGGCTACGATCAAACATTATGTCTGCAACGACTCGGAGTTCGAACGCATGTCGATGTCATGTAAGACCATCCTTGTTCGTGCGTGTGCACAAGTGTCAACTAACGATTGCATTCATTTAGCTGAGGTCTCGATGCGTGCACTCCGCGAAATCTACTTGCGTCCCTTTGAGCTGGCTATCCGCGACAACGAGAACGCGCCGTGGGCTGTTATGTCCGGATACAATCGTGTGAACGGTGCGTCCTGAGAAATGTTGTGTTTGCGTTACCATTGTTCATGCGCGAGGGCGGATTGTAGGTTTGCACGCTTCTGAACACAAATAGTGAGTTTTTTCTGAAGACCAGTGTATAGCTCAGACATTGACATTGACGTGGTAACTTAGTTTCCTCGATTCGGTTCTGCGGAAGCAGTGGGGATGGAAGGGAATGATCATGTCCGATTGGTACGTTCTGTAGATATTTGCTTGTGAATATTCCTGATTTACATGTTTACATGTAGGTATGGCACATACTCAACCGATGCAGCGATCAAGGCTGGGCTTGATCTCGAGATGCCTGTAAGTCACTCGTGACTCTCATTGCTGTAGCTATTTTATTCATCTAGCGCATATAGGGACCGCCGACGTGGCGTGCGGACGCCCTACAGCGCTGTGTGGTTGCGCAGAAGCTCCGAGTCGCTGAAGTCGACGAACGCGTACGCAAGGTAAATGTTTGGCTGTTTGGTAGACGGTTCATTACTTAACCAGAATTGATTCCCAGGTTTTGGGCCTCATCAACCAAGTTGCTGCATCTGGTATTCCAGAGAACGCAGAAGAAACCGGGGAACCAAAGAAAGAAACCGTCGATCTTCTCCGCCAAGCAGCAGCAGTACGTATGAATCACTTCTCCTACGTGCTAACACTATTCAACCACCTACCTTTATAGGGTGCCAACGTTCTCCTTAAAAACAGCGCCTCTCTCCTCCCCCTTTCAGTTTCCTCCACATCTTCCATCGCGGTCATCGGCCCTAATGCCGATGCACCAGTCTTCTCAGGTGGAGGATCCGCTAACCTCCGTCCCTACAAACACACTACCGCGCTCGAAGGCATTCGCGCCGCGCTTCCCGCCTCCACCAAAGTACACTACGCAATCGGATCCCATGCACACAAGGAGGCGCCGCTACTTCTCGAAAAGCATTTGAAGACTAAGAATGGGGAGCCTGGATTCGATATTGAATGGTTTAACGAGGACCCGCTTCAAGTTCCTGGGACAAAGAGGATACACTATACCAGGGGGACAAGCTCATTTTCATTCTTCAACGACAACCTGCCTATCGATGTGAGTAAGGCATCGTGTCGGGCGTACGGGTATTTGACGATTGAAACAGATCCTTGCACCGGCATGTTGGGCTACGATAACTGCTTACTATACTCCAGAGGTCTCGGGCACGGTTCGTGTTATTTAATCTATGCTAGGTGCATATATTGACATAAGCTTTGCAGTACGAGTTCGGTGTCGCTGCCACTGGACTGGCCGATATCTACGTTAACGGCAAGAAGATCGTCGATAACTCTACTGACCCCAAACCTGGACGTAAGCACATTTCCCTTGCCTTCATATAAAGTTTATCTGACATATCGGATGCCAGATGTATTCTTCATGACTGGTACAATTGAAGCCACAGGCACCATTGAGCTCGAAGGAGGCAAGCCAGCCGAAATTGTTTTGCAATACGCAAGCCCAGTCGCGGCGCAATCCAAAGGGTTCGCTCAGGTCGGCGCTGGGTCCCTCTCGAACGAAAGTAGGGGCGGCTGTCGATTTGGGTGCGCGCGCGTGTTTGACGATGACGTGGGGGTCAAGGAGGCTGTGGAGATTGCGAAGAAGGTCGAGACAGTTGTACTTGTTGTGGGTTTGAACAATGGTGAGTTTCTTAGATGCTGTATCGAACAACACTCAGGCCTTCAAAAGATTGGGAGTCGGAAGGTTACGACCGGACCGATATGGTTCTTCCACGTGCGACAAACAAGCTCGTCCAGTCGGTACTTGACGTGAACAAGAACACTGTTGTCGTCATCATCAGCGGTACACCTGTTTCGATGCCATGGGTCGACTCTGCCTCCACAATCGTTCAATCGTTCTATGCTGGCGGTGAGGCTGGTAATGGATTGGCGGACGTCTTGTTTGGAAAGGTGAACCCAAGTTCGAGGTTACCGCTTACCTTCCCAATTGTGAGTGTTTCTTAACTTGATAGTAACGTGCCAATAATCATCCATGCCATGTAGAGAGACGAGGATACGCCCTCACACTTGAACTTCCCTGGCCAGAACGGGAAGATTTTGTATTGTGAGTCAGAAATGCTGGGATTATAAGGGTATGACTCACTATATCCGTTGATAGCCGAAGGAGTGTTCGTTGGATACAGGCATTATCAGACCTTCAAAAAAGAAGTCCTGTTTCCCTTCGGTTTCGGTCTCTCGTACGTACTTTGCTATACCCATTTACTTAGTCCAGGCTAAACATTAGGACGGATTAGGTATACCCAATTTGAGCAGTCGAATCTGAAAGTGTCTGGCTCTATTGCCAAGGACAGCACAGTTACAGTGTCTGTTACAGTCAAGAATGTCGGCAAAGTTGCTGGTCGGGATGTGGTGTAAGTTTTCAGTGCGCACCGAACAAAATCTGGTTCTTACGATTACCATACAGCCAAGTATACGTTCGCGATCTTGTCTCTCGCCTCGACCGGCCTGTTAAGGAACTCAAAGGATTCGCCAAAACGAAAACGCTCGAGCCTGGAAAATCCGATACCGTCTCTATATCTCTTGACAAATATGCCTTTGGCTACTTTGATGATTGGGCTGGCGAGGGTAAGGACGGAGAGGGATTGTGGGTTGCAGAGGCAGGCGAATTCGAGATTGTGGCAGCGGCCAGCAGTGCAGACTCTGGGTTGGTTGCCTCAATCAACTTGAAAGAGTCGTTCAACTGGCTCTAGTGTCAATGGGGGACTATAATGTTTGGTACCACGGTGAATCTCATTTGAATGCATGCAGTTCGAAGCCTTGCCTATGTTGATTCGGAACCAAGGCTTCGTATTGGTATAGACTGAAGTTGTTTGTCCACTTGACATCGAGTTCTGAAGGGAGCAGAACTCTGGGACGAGTCATTTGGCTTAATGTTTGTTAGTGAATCGAGTGGGCCCGCCCTTCGTAGTGCTATCAAGCGCATATATTCGGGTATTTCTACTATCCTACCTCAAGCAGCCGCCCGAATTTTAGCAATACCTTCTGTCTATAGCATTCTCGGAGCTTCAATGGCCCTTCCCATGTGCTTTGCTATGTGCCGTAAGGCTCGGGGTGAACAGAGAGCCCGGAAACGATCGGAATGCAGCCAAAATCTATATGCCCAAGAGATTAGTAATATGTAATTCAATCCATCGGTCAGTTAACATGTATGCACTATGTGCAGGGGTTAAAGTACTCGATCGCGTGTCTTGTTTGAGCCCGAACGGCCTACTTGATGGATCTGAACGAAAAGTTGGTTGGGCTAGAGGGCTGTTAAGTCATGTGGGGCTTTGGCTCATAACCCTGCTTTACCCCCTCATCTGAACTACCCCATTATGTGGCGTATCCTCTGACTTTCTCTTCCCCTCTCCTATTTCTTGGTTGTACCAGAGCATTTAGTGTAATTCGTGAAGTATATACGAAAAAATGGGAGAGTCACGTGATTTCCCACCTCCCGTCGCTTCAGCACAGTTTTCCCAGCTCAAAGTTGGACCGTCATCGCACCGCTGGATGTCAAAACGCTTGCTCCCTGTGAGGCTCGAACTCACGACCTTTGGATTACGTAAATGATATTACTCATAGAAAATATGAGACCAACGCTCTACCAACTGAGCCAAGGAAGCGCCGCCTACCTGTTTGCCAGATCCGTTGTGAGGTGTTAGCCCACTTGCTTAGATTTGTTCGAATCTAATATCAAAATATATGTTCTAGCATCGAGTGATTACGTCCACACATTTGCGTAATATATTCCGGCATGCTTCGGCAGAGCTTTATAGTACCTAGCCTTGATCATAATCCGTCCCTTGCTTCGTTTTGCCCCAGCTTGTGAGTGAGCGGTAGCCCGTTCACCCACTTAGATCGACTATTACCGCACCTACGCATGTCGTAGAAGTAGTTATCGAGGAGGCAAGCATCATCCAACTCATACCAGCAGATCGTTGGTTGGTACTCTCTAGGTGATATCTTTCAATATCCTTTAAGCTCAATGCACCTTGATGGTAAATATTCTCATCTCTTATTGACTGCAGAACAGTGTGTAAAAAATCTGATGTGTGACGTGAGTTTCAGTGCAACGCCGCTGTGCCTCAAGGACAAACGCCCGAGACCGGGATTTGTTTGTTTCGAGAAACCCGGCAAGCTCCGAAGTGACGTCGGCCACTCCCAAGTCACACTTAAATGAATAAAAAATGTCTATACAGTCCTGGTGGTCTTTCGAGTGCGCCCGAAATCAAAAGTTGGAGTGTATGCGCTACATCAGTCAGATACTCGGCCACGAGAATGAAGGTATACTCTCCACCGTCATACAGTGACCGGTCACATATTTACCCCCATTACGCAAACCATATCCCCTACCACTTCTGCATCCGGTTCGTGGTTGATGACGAATCTGCTCTGATAGGGGAGATGAGCTGCCTATAAAGTCGCACCCACCCCGCCCTGTCCCCCAACTTAAACCACCACCGCGCTGCGTCTTACTGCTCCGTCACCGCCGTTGAACTCTTATCGCCCTTACTATATCTTGTTCCATGATGTATCACCTCATCATCGCCCTTGTCTTGCTCGTTTTCACCGGTCTCCTGACCGTGACCGGTTACACCTCGTCTCTCCCCACTGGGGTCTATCCCCTGGCTTTTACTCTCATCGCCTGCTCGTATTGCTGCTTTGTTGAGTACAAGTCCAGGATGTCCAAGACCCACAACCGTTACAAACGCATCCGGTGAGTAGCCCCTATTCTATCGCTTGTCGTCTGCGGCGTTGACGTATACGTCTACTAGCATGCCCAAGTCGACTCATGCCAAACCGGCATACCGCAATGACTCTGTCCCAGCGATATTCCTGGCTGGAGGCGACAAGTCGTCTGGTCCTCCGCCAGAGCCGATTTTTGTCACGCGTCCAAAACCAAAGCCCAAGTCAAGTAAGGGTTACAAGTATATAAGTGGATCGCACGAGGTTGCTGACACCGAACTGGCTGCACAGAAGCACCAGCAAACGCTAGTCGTGCTAGTGCGCTTCGCTCTCATATCGGGGGCTATTCCAAGTTTTTGTACAGCCCGGCGTCGTACGACGTCCTCGCGCTAGTCTTCCTCCTCTACTCCGTCTACCGCGGCTCGTTGCTCGCGTTCCAGTCTGTAGTCCATGAGTTAACTGGGCTCGGCTTGTTGCTGCGCAGCACTTGCACCCGCACGAACCTCGGTTATTTAGCAATCATGATATCAGTTTCGGTTTATTCACTCCGCAAGTACCTCTTGAAGCTTTCTACCATCAAGCACACCGGTATGTCGAATCCCGCTTCTCATTGACCTTAGGCGCTGACCGCAGGTTGATGTGTGTTTGTCAGCGTCGATCCCTTCGGCGCTTCGCGAGGTTCACCCATCAAAACTCGACGACTCGCCGGCGTTTGACGACACATTCCAATCGCCGGCCACCGCTAGGCCTCAGCCTCAGCCCCATTCCGAGCCTAAGCCTGAACCTGCACAGCTAAACGTGAGTATCTCTTGTTTTGCAAAGGCGGTCGTGTAACCCATAGAAACCAACTCGCACGGCAGACACCTGTTCCGAAGGCCAGCCGCCCCGCCGTCTCCAGACGTAGCATCTTCCCGGACTTCGACCCTCAGAAAAAGACACAGGCCGAGCTCAAAGCCGAAGTGGATGCTTCGATTGCGAGAGCTTACAAGGCTTTGCGAGTCAAGAAGGAGGTAAGCGTTTCTGTTTCGTACCCGTTCACTCAGATACTTAACGAGTCATGTATAGGGCGAGGCTGCCCGGCGTCGGTACTACGAGAGCCGTTATAACTCAGTCCGGACGTCCCGAATTAGACAAGAGCGCCAGCCTTCGCACGTAGAGGATCCCGTGGACTCTCCTAATCAAGATGTCGAGCCTCCGTCCGCGTCTCCAAACGCCTCGGCTCCCCATTCGCTCCCACCGGAACTCGATAGCGATTACGGCACGTCCGACGACTCGAGCTCCGCCAACACGTCTGCCAACGAACAGCCCGAACCCAGCGCCTACATCCCGATCGTCCTCCCGCCCATTGACAGCCCTCAGGCAAACTCGCTCCGGGGACCAGTACGCGAGCCAACGACTCCGGCCCAGGTCAAGGTCTCGCCCATGTCTGCCCCCAAGTGCGTTGTGGCTGCGCAAATCGCAACTGGAGATGGCAAGTCAGTCGCTGTCTTGCATCGGTCGCAGTGGAAAACCAAGCAAAAGTGGCTGGTCGTGGCGAAGAAAGACGCACAGCTGAATACGAAGAAGGCAAAGGAGCTCGGGCCAATGGATATCACCGAGCAAGAGCCCAGCGACGCGGCCGTCGAGCCGATGGATACCGCCGAGGAAGAGGCCAACGATTCGGTCATGGACTCTCCCAAGTTATCGAGCGATGGAACGTTCTCGCCCATGGTTCTTTCGCCAACTCCCGCGCAAGTCTCCTCCTTTGGACCGCAGAGTGTGGATACTCCAATGGACACCGACGAGGGTTTACCTGGAGCTCGATTCATCAGGGGACTGCCTCGTCGCACGGCAGCTCGTCCGAGTCGGACTGACGCGCCCTCTACGTCGAACGCAAGCGCCCCGACTCCCATGGAAATCCAGTCCGGACCTGTCCTACCGCCGCATTCGATCCCCCAAGACGCGGTCATGGAGTCACCCAAGGCACCGAATGCTGGATTCCACCCTATGACCTGGTCGCCTGTCCCGCCGTCCTCGTCCTCGCGAGTCTCGTCGTCTGTGTTGCTGGATGCAGACACACCTATGGACCCGGTCGAACAACCTTCCGAAGTTCGGAAGTTCAAGCCGTTGCCTCGCCGCGCAGCCCCTCCTTCGAGTGGATTGAACGTGCCCTCTACGTCCAGGGTGACCCCGCCGGCTCCCAAGACACCTACACCTGGACGCACTCTGCCGCCACACGCTGGTCCTATCGCTCCGACCGGCAACATGGGAAGGTTCCAGATGTTCGGCAGGTTCAAGGCTATCCCCGCAGCCGCGATGCGACCAAGGGATCTGGCCGCTGCGATGAGTGAGGGGACAAATAAGTCTACTGAGGCTCCAAAGGTCCGAGTCGCGCCGGTATTCATGTTGTCGAACAAGGAGCGGACGGTGGTGCAGAAGGGGGAGTATATACCTCCCAATACGCAGTACCTGGTGAAGGATCAGAGGGGAACGGTGTTGAGGGTGACTGGGCCGAGGGGGCTACGGGTGTGAACAAGATTGATGAGAGCGTATGGCCGTTTTGTCTAATCTGGTGTTCCTGCTATGGTTCGTTCACCGTCTGTCTGCTTTGTTTAATTTGTCCGTTTGTTACTTTCTCTGTTTCCTCCGCTCGGTCTTGTATTAGTATGTCTATTTTATTGAATAAAATAGCCCGATAAGACCAACGAAACGTTTGAGTACTAGTAACTAAGTCGACTGTTGAGTATTTGCGTGGAAGCGCAATTGTTGCACGGCGTCGCGACCACTTCCATCGCCACATTCGATTCGCAGAGCAAGCCGACTTTTGCCCCTTTCTGATATCCACGCTCCCAAGATAATAATCAAGGGTCTACCGTGCTCCATGAAGGCTCACGTTTGGACATTGGGAATGGTAAGTCACACTAGAGTCTAACCCAGATATTTTACTGAGGAACATACGGTCGCTTTGCAGAGTATTTTGGTAGTACAATTGAAAGCCCAGTCTAAACAAAAAAAGTGCGCACAACCCAAGAGCAGAAGCTATACCTCTTACCCACTCGTCTAGGCAATACGATCCCAAGAGAATGATCACCTCAAGGACTCAATCAGGGCTGGGCCTCGCTCCTCTCCGTTATGAAGAAGCACACCGCGCAGCTCCGTGCTATCCAACCGTAGCCCGAGCTCGAATTCTAGATATATGCGCTATATTAGCCAAGGAATTTGGGCTTCGCGTGACATATTACCTGTGTAGAACCCGTTCTAAGACCATAATAGCGACAGTGGTCGGTACAAGCATAAGAGTAAGATCGAAATAACGTACCTGCTTTTGCCCCTTTGCGTGTTCCTTGAAACTCGGCAAGTTGCTCAGATCAAGAGTCCACTTGCACAATTCCGTCGTTTCGCCTTCATCCGTGTACCGCATAATGCGTTCGTAATCCGAGGTGTATATCTGTACTTCGAATACACAATCTTAATAGGGTTTATTAAAGCTTTATGTATACGAGAGGGTGTAAAACGAACCTTGAATACTCTTTGAAAATTTGCGAAACTTGACCTTGACAGTCTGACCTTTTTTCAGTACAGCTCCTTTTTGAATAAGATACTGCAGTCGATTACTGCAGACGCTGTTGCCTTGGGCATCGTCGATGATATAACCAGCTCGCATTCTCCAGTCCTCAGGTTCAGCTTGAAGCTTGACCTGCTCGGCCCAGATATCGTATTAGTATTGGAGGTGGAGGTAAGTTGAAAAACATACCCTCATAACGTACGATCGAGGCGCAATGTAAGACGACATCAAAATACTATGTTCTAGGCCGTACTGTGCGGCGCCACGGCACGCCGCTGTATCCGCGTCAGGCGGGCGGATAAGTGTCCTTATCTGAGGTCCAAACTGTTGCTGAAACGTCGCCGAGCGTGTGAGTAGACAGCATTCCACGAAAGCTCGATATGAAAGGAGAAA